TGCCAACTCTTGACTTGCCGGAGACCCCTCCTCCCGCCCAGCCTTTGTCTGCGGTAGGGTGTTGCCTAAATTCGCAACCATGCCTTTCCTAAGGCTCTGCGGCTATTTTTTCTGGATCTTGCTTCAGTACCAAAATATTTTAAGGACCAGGTGGTCAGCCAACAACGTGTGTTTGCTGAGAGTCCACCTCCCTGGAGCAGAAGCACTGATGGGTGATCATTACTGAATGCTAGATTATAGTTGCCTGCCATCAAAATTTTGGATCATTTGGGTTTTTATGAAGTATTGGAAATTTAAATTCAGTTTACAATGTTAGAGCTGTCACTTGTAGCTAAAATGTTGTTAATCTGTTGCCTAATCCTAGGCATTTACGAAGCATGCAAGCCTGAGGTCTACTGAAATGTAGAGCAATGCATAGAGATATGTAAGATTCAGTTTCCCATTGTACGAGCTGTGTGTGCCTCAAGCACACAATGCTGACTGCTTCTGTGTTTGAGGTTAGTTTCGGATGCTGTTATTAATAAGGTCTGAGATTATGTCCACAAAGACCAGGGGAGATGATCGGAGGCGTAACCACGAATGCCATAGTCTTAAAGCTAGGAAATCCCACTGGGTTGGGGTTTCCATATTGTTCATATGTAAGTAAATACAATAACGTCATTCAGGATGCATGCTTTCATAGAGTGATGGAGACAAGGCACCTAACGAGCCGTTAAAAAATAAGCTGAATGAAGTTTCCTTCAGATTTTCTTAGTGTCTGTATCAGCTGTCTGTTTGTATTGAGAAGTTTCTGTAGACTGCAGATTTTAGATGTGCTTTGATACATCCCAGTGAGCTCTGGCTCCTAGCAAAAGTGATTTCATGCAGAGTTACTCAGAATGTTACTTTTATTTCTCATTTTGCAGATGAAAACCTACATTTAGAGATAAATTACAAGGCAAGGCTAAGAATCTTCCTGAAACAAGAAGTGACAATAAGGTGGTAGTTTATGTTGCCAATTTTTTCCCCAGGTTTGGACTCCCACTGCATACAAAGCTGCTTTAGGCCTTTTTCCTCATTTGTTTTCAATAAAATATTTATTGGCTTTCCATGGGAGAGGTTTCAACATCTGCTTTTAAGTACAGCCAAGAACCTACAGTGATGTGCTTTGTAAGTTTGAAGCTATGGCTTTATAGCTCACATACATGCATCAGGACAGATCATCTTCCTATGCTTTTTCTGGTTCAGTATTTCTGAAAAAAACCCAGACTTTGCCCCATCCTTTTGTTTATTTTTGCTGAGGAGAGGGGATTTGATTCCTTTACCCAGGTACTTGGCTGATCACAACATTTTTCTCCCAAGAGTCTTGTGGCTCTTTATATGGTCCTGTGCTACGTTTTGGTCATGCAGTGGAAGACTGCTAGGGTTTGGGAATCCTAGGGGTATAGTCTTCCTTCTTACAGCCTTTTGTTGTCAGGAGTCGTGTATTTTATGTGGAAAAGCTAACGTGGCGTTTTATCTTTCTTTTTCTTTTTTTTTTTCCTTTTCTTTTTTAAAGAGCTTTTCTGCAGTGGTTTCTGATGACCTGGTTGCAAGGGCATTGAACAGGCCTTATTTTGGCATTCCTCTACCCTTCAGAAATTTGAGTGGTGCCAAACATATGTACCTTTGTGTGTGCTTGTATTTGTGGAGCTAATAATTCATATGTGTTCCCAACACATTCATGCTTACATGAGTTAATATGCTTTTTAGGTATGAAGCATCAGTTGGAAGTGTATGAACTGGAGGTGATACTTAATATGCCAAATGACACTATAGCCTGGCTGGCTTGATGTAAAAGGGCTGTTGTACTGACAGCGCTTACAGTCCCCGAGAGGAGGAACTATTGCTGCATATATGGTGCATTTCTGCAAGGCTGTCCATGCAGAGAAGCTGGGAAGAAAAATTCCCATAAGGCCCCAAGGGGTCTTTTCTGCAAAGAGCATGTGTTTATGTAATGGAGAGGTATGTGACCCAGAGATAGCGGATTGACAAAAAGGGGAAAATCCAGTGAAAATGCGTGCAGAAGGACTGTGGTAGTGTTGGATGGATGTGGGGTACTGAGCAGGGAAGAAGCTATTTGGGAATATAAGTTAGTTTGTGGGGAAAAGGCAACTGAATGCAGAATTAAAGGGAGTTGCTGGTAAGATGTAGCAGACGATGGAAATGTAAGGGAGAAGAGACTGTATGTGGAAGAAGGCCCTGTGGAAAGGCTGGTAATGATCCAGGCAAAAGTGGACAGGATGAAAATGACAGGACTGAGAGCAAAAAAGAAAAAAAGTAGTACGTGCAGGGGTGGGAGATTTGTTAGGAAAAGGGGAACAATGGAGGTAGGAAGGTTTGGGAAACCAAGAGATGTTGAAATAAAGATAGGCATTAATTGCCTTGAAGCTCTAAAGTCCAAGGACAAATTCAGTGAGGAGTGCCGAAACTGCACATAGCAAGATGGTTCTTGTGCCAGAAATAAGTAAAAGGCAATGAGATGCTGCTCCCAGCTTGCTGGTTGCCTTCCTGCAGATGCCCCAGGAAGTTCCTGGGTGGATATAGCCTTTCCTTGCTCTGTCTGAACTGTTTGTGTTGCAGCTTTTTTTTTTTTTTTTTTACTTGCTTGCTTGCTGTATTTTTATTGAACAAGGTTGTAATTTTTCGGTCTTTAAAATGGATAGGAATGAGAAACCATTCCTGTATGGCCTGTGGCTCACTCCCCATGGCTCTTCCCCTCCCCTGTCACAAAACCATCACATAATTTGATTTTGGAAATATTTCTAACTGGGAACAAATACGGGGATACAGACTCCATGGCTTCTACAAAAGGTTACAGTGCATGGCCTGACTGAGAGGTTCCTTGCCATACTGAAGAGAGCATGCCGTGTAGTCTGGTGTTACCACATGATGTTATTCTTATTTCTAGTAATTTTCACACCTGTCTTAATTGTCTGCCATGATTTAATAAACTTTTGTAGGTGGAGGTTCAAGGGTCTCATTTCAGTCTCATTTAATCAAGAGAGACAGCTATCTGGGCCCCTGTATGGGCTCCCTGGTCATGATGTTTATGTAAATGATAAATACATTTTGCCTTACGCTGAGGTTATATCTTCTTGTGCTTGATCTTTTGCAGACTTGGCTGTCTCTGCTTGCATCTTTCTTAGGGAGCTTGTAAGACAAAGAGAGAAGTTGTTTCTAGGATCTTTAAGTCTTAGAAAACTGTGAAGTGATTAATATTTGGCTGCTGAGTTGGAAATGAATACATGATTATTTTGGAAGGCTATTGCTTCTTTGCTACAAGGCAGTGTTAGACAACATGTCAACATCCGTTACCTTAGCAAATGGAGTTCTTGGTCATGATATCTTTTTGTATGTATTAGGGTTTTCCAGTACTTACCACTAGATTGCTTGGGAATGAGACTCACTTTTTCACATTTACAGCAAATGTGATACAATTTCATCTTAGTAGGTTACTGGCATTGTTACATTGCTTTGAATTATTAAGAATAAATTTATCTGTTAGGAGTCCCTGCTGAGTGCCATGGAGTTATGGGGAAGAATACTAATAAACAGTTACTTCCAGGAATAACTGTAAATCCTTTAATGTTTTTCAAGACACTTCTATTATGGTTTGAAGCTTTTCTTTTTCTTGATCTGACAAGCGTGTCTTTTAAATCTGAAGCAGGGAAATGAAAGCACCAATCTCCAGGATTCAGTGATGCGATTCTAAAATGCTAAAATTCTAAAGAATACTGGGTTTTGTGTGAATTTTTTTCTTTTGCTTCCCTCTCCCCCCACCAAAGGGGGGGGAAGCCTTGAAGGAGAAGGCTTTGTCTTTAAATATATATTTAATCAGGCAGTAAGGCTTTTAAATTACTTATCACCACTTCAGTATGCAAATGCTGGAAGGCATTTTACATTCCATAACTAGCAAATGCCACTACAGTTTGGGTTTCTGTCAGACTCGCAGGCTTAGTCCTCCAAAGCACTGAGTATTACTGCCAAGTTGATTAGCACGGATTTTATATATTCCAAACCTTGCAGGATTAAAATCTGGTTTTTTAATATATATGGCTGTTAAAATATATATTAAAAAATGTTTGGCTTGATATATTCTAGAAAGACAAGAAGCTATGCATAACATAATTTTAAATATGGAGCAATACATCATATTAAATTATGGAGGAAAAATAAAGAAAGGTTTTATTCTTTATGCCAGAAGACTTGAGGGAGGGGATGTGACGTGGTGTTCAGCACCTGAGCCCCGGACAGCGGCATTTGAAGGACCGAAGAATTGTATATTCAAAATGTGGGATATAAAGCAAATTAAAAGTGTTACCATTCTTCGTGTTATGGCATACTCCAGTGCCACAATCGGGATCCAGTGTAGGCCAACCTTGAGATCCTAGTATTTTATGTAATACTGTATTTATAGACTACTACCAGGCATGCTTTATAACAATTAAAATAACTTGCTCATATGACCAAAATAAAATCTAAGCTTAAATGAGAATGCTGACCAAATGTGCTTTATGTTCTGAAGAATTATAAAAAATTTGATATTCTGAGCAATACAGTAGTTTTAGCACCCCAAACTTAGAAATGAGTTTTGCATGATTTAATGTTAAGAAGTCAAAATAGATGGAAAGAAACTGTTTGTATCTATTTTTTCTGTGGATGCATATGATAGTTTGCAGTACAAATATAGTTTGTAGAATAGTAAACTACATGATTTTTAGTGAAATGAGTTGTGCCGAACTGCATCATTAGAGTAAAGAGGGTATTAACTGCATTTTTAAAACATTTTGTCCATGTACTTCTTAACATGTGCCTTGAATCCACTGTGAAGGCGGGAATTCACAGAAACAGGTTGAAATGTAGTTGTTGAAACATGTAGCTGAAATCTTGTGTTCTTATTTCAATTGTGGGTGGTTTTTTTTCCTTCTGAGCTAAATGAAAATAATGACCATGATTATTTTTCTCCTTTTTGTTTCTAGGGGTTGATACGAAATTGAAATTCACTCTTGAACCATCTTTAGGTCAAAATGGTTTTCAGCAGGTAATTTGATTCATTTTTCTCTTGAGTTTGTGAAGGACTGGGTTCTCCTCAATCGAGGTACTTGCCCTAGTTCAAAAGTGCATCTTTCATCATAATGTCAGCATGTTATTTGCAATTGCATCAAAGGCTGTTCCATTAGTATTTGGAAAATGCAATAGGCTTTCATTGTTTACTCAGATATCTCATAAGTCTTTGTGTCCTAGAATATTATGTTTTTGTTATATCATTAAGTAATTAACCTATATTTTCCCTATGAGTGGATTAAGCGATTAAACTCTGAAATGTGTGCAGTAAAATGAAATGAATGTGCATGTCTGCAGTGTTATAAATGTTGCTATACTGTTGCATTAAACTAATGGTGGATTTTATACATTTTTGGATGCTTTTGCTTTTAGTGGCATGATGCACTTAAAGCAGTGGCCAGATTGCCAACAGGCATACCGAAAGAATGGCGGAGAAAGGTAGGTAGACCTGTACGCTTTGTGGGATGTATTGACTGACTGTGGGTTTCTCAGGAGAGGTGAATGACATCAATATTATCAGTGTTTTTTAACAAATATTTGGAAGTTTTAAGTTTAAGTTGTACTGGGGATTTTTCCTAGTTTACATTCTTCAGCGATAACCTCACAGGGCAGCTGGAGAGACTGAGGAGACAGGTAAAGATGGTGTTTTCAATAGTTGGGCTCTTTCTGCTTGAGGCTTAGGTAACTTATTCTGGTGCAGATGTTATTGCTTCATTCTGTCAGTCTCAAGGAACTGCATGGGTGAAGCTGCCCCCGCAGCTGAAGATCAACTGAAAGGAATAGGCTGTCATGAAGGTGAAGTTGATAGATGCTAGTGCTGACAAGAATGCTCATAGAAACATTTGGCAGGGAAAAGATTGCCTAAATTAGGGAAGTTCAGTGCTGACAAGAATGCTCATAGAAGCATTTGATGGGGGAAAGGCAGATTGCCTAAATTAGGGAAGTTCAGAGTCAGGAGTGATGTAGAACGGTGGAGTGCACCATTAATGGGAAGTTGCACTGAGTTAGTGTTGTAGGAAAGGGTCCAGTGGGATTTTGCTAAACTTACTTTATTGCTTTCTTCAACAATGTTTGAAGTTCCCTACTCTAAAAAAAAGGCATGTCTATTCATCTTTTCTATAAAACTGAGTCACACGATCTCAGCTTTAAAAATGCAATTTTAATAAAAGGAATATCTTTAAAGCTTTATAAAATATATGTAGATCCATATATTGATGCATCAGATTAATTTCCTTTTCCTGTTTTCTTTTGCTATCTTTCCAAACCAAACTGTTCCTCTTTACAAATCGGGGGAAAGGAAACAGAAGACTTACAGTGGCATCGTTTTCCTCACACCACTATGATTTTTTTTTTAATCTACAACTCCAGTGAATCATTATACCCATCTAATAGCCTTTTTTCTTTCCTAAAATGTTCTTTTTCCACACTCCAATAAGTCTCTCAGACACTTTTCTGGGGTACATCAGTGGCAGAGGTCATAGAATCACAGAATGGTTGAGGTTGGAAAGGACCTCTGGAGGTCATCTGGTCTAACCCCCCTGCCCAAGCAGGGCCACCTGCAGCTGCTTGCCCAGGACTATGTCCAGATGGCTTTTGAATATCTCCAAGGAAGGAGACTCCACAACCTCTCTGGGCAATCTGTGTCAGTGCTCTGTTGCCCTCACAGTAAAAAAGTGTTTCCTGATGTTCGGATGGAACCTCCTGTGTTTCAGTTTGTCCCCATTGTTTCTGGTCCTGTCACTGGGCACCATTGAGAAGAACCTGGCTCTGTCTCCCTTCAGATATTTATATACATTGATAAGATTCCCTTCTCTTCTCTGGGCTGAACCGTCCCAGCTCCCTCAGGCTTTCCTCATAGGAGAGATGCTCCAGTCCCTTAATCCTCTTAGTGGCCCCCTGATGGACTCTCTCTGGTATGTCCATGTCTTTCTTGTCCTGGGGAGCCCAGGACTGGACCCAGCACTCCAGGTGTGTCTCACCAGTGCTGAGCAGAGGGGAAGGATCGCCTTCTTCAACCTGCTGATGTGCTCTGCCTGATGCAGTCCAGGAGGCTGTTGGCCTTCTTTGCCACAAGAGCACATTGCTGCCTTGTGGTCAACTTGGTGTCCGCCAGGACCCCCAGCTTCTTCTCTGCAAAGGTGCTTTCCAACTGGGTGGTCCCCAGCATACACTCATGCCTGGGGTTGTTCCTCCCCAGGTGCAGGACTTTGCACTTCTCCTTGTTGAACTTCATGAGGTTCTTGTCAGCCCATTTCTCCAGCCTGTCAAGGTGCCCTTGGGCTTATCAGCCACTCCTCCCTGTTTTGTGTCATCAGCAGACTTGCTGAGGGTATGCTCTGCCACATCATCCAACTCGGATCTCTGTCTTTTCCTTCTCATTCTTCCTATCTCTGCGTTTGCTTACACATGACCACACGATGCTAACCAAAGAAGTAGCGTTAAGAAAAGGGATGTGGTCTTTTCACTGCCATTCCTTGGTTTCCCAATGATTTTAAGATTGATGCCAAATTAAAGAAAGCATTTTGTGTTGGCAGCATGCTGATTGCCTCCTTTGCTGGCAGCAGAAGGAGCAGGGTGACATCTGTATTATTGCTGTGACATGTGACATTTGTTTTCTGGGGCTGGCAGAAAGAAAGAATCCAGTCAAACAACATCAGTAGGATGTCAGCAGTGCCAAAGGCTGCTGGAGGCAGAACAGCGAAAAAAGCTTTGCAAAAGTGTGAGAAGAGACATTTAAATGCAGAAAACATGAGATTCTGGGAGCTGTCTATAAATTCCTTCATCATCTAAGTATCTAAGTGTTTAAATCTGTGGGAAGTGTCTGAATTGCTTTTCTCACTTGAGTGAGTTAATGGCTGATGTAAAACTCGACCAATTTGCTTTCATGATTTCTTTCAGTTTCCTGAAGAGAAAAATCCTTTATTGTTACTTGTTGTCATTGTATGATTTGTCATGTGTCTTTCATGGTTCAGGAACTTTTCAAATGTTTAATAAAGGTCCAGCCTTTGTCTTACATACACGTGCATAAATCTGTTCTGGTAACTATTAGGCTTTAAAAATAGTCAAAATGTTTGTTTTCAGAACTCCCTGTAGCACCAACAGTTTAGGAAGCCCTCTTGTAAGAGTAAGTTACTCTGATCCTAGTGATACTTTCAGATCAGTCCCGAATGGTTAATACTAGATGCTGTTGCCTCTGCAAAGTTGATCAGAAAAGACGTCTGGTAAAGAGAAGCACCACTAGATTTCTTTTTTTGGGGTTTCCAGGAGATGCATCCATGGTTGAGTTTGAGGAAGCCTGCAGCAGTGTTACCTTTTTATAAAACTCCTTGCTAGTTATGAGGTTAGAAGGGCTGAACTGACAAGGGCTGAACTGTCTCTTGCAGGAGAGTGTGCTTCCATATTGGAGGACCCTGTGGATTCAGTTTCTGACAATGGACTTGCATCTTTTAAGCAGTTGACAGATCTGGACACTTAATGCTAACTGTTTCCTTCCTTTCTGTTTCAGGGAGCAAGGTATTACTTCAACTGTGCAAAAATTTTTTTAGATATAGTCCTCTTCTATGTATTTCAAGTCTTAACAGCAGATCACATATGGATGAAGCTGACGAGGTTCATCTAACAGTATATATGAAAACTGTTAATATTTTATCTGAGAAATAATTCATTTTGTTGACTTGCTTTGTGTATTTCTAGGTTTGGCTGACCCTAGCTGATCAGTACTTACATAGTATAGCCATTGACTGGGATAAAACCATGCGTTTCACATTCAATGAAAGAAGTAATCCTGATGATGACTCTATGGGCATCCAGATAGTAAAGGTAGCCAGCTAATTTGTTATTTTACTTTAAATTTTAATGAAAAGTTAATTTTTTTTTTAATATATAGAATTTGGATTTATTTTGTTCTCTGCAATTGCTTTGGCAAAAATTACACCTTAATTCCCTTTGGCCCACCAAAATTATTTCTTCAGCTTCTTTGGTCCTTCTTCTGCACTGGTCTGGTTAGTGTTAGCTAGGGAAAAAAATTGCTATTACTGATTCCGCCGCCGCCCCTCCCCCCCCCCCCAAATTCTACTTTTTTGTTTTAAAAGAAATACTGGAGTTTAATGGAGACAAAGGAACATAAGTGGGTTTTTTCCCCTCTTCTCTATAAATAAACACAAATGTTTGCTGGGATTAAAAAGTATGTTTTATAATGCAGTAATTGAGCATTTTTCAGTTATTTTACAGGAATGAAACACATTCGTCTATGTATATTTCTCAGCTAATTAACATGTAATATTTAAAGCAGTTTTAGGATAAAGCTTAATAGATTTGTATTGCTGTGGTGACTTAGATATTAGTCTATTTACCTATTTAGGAGATAATACTCTATTTAGGAGAAATTAAGGTGACTATAGAACACAATTAAAGTACACGGAGCAAAATACTTTGTGTTCCTGATTATTACAATTGTCATCTGTACTTGGTAATGTAAGCTTATAGATATTACTTACGAAATATTAAACATTGTAGTACATGTTTTGCCTTTCACTTATAGATAGCTTAAATCTCAAGGACATTGTTTCTGGTTTTTTATGTTTTGAAAACTTAGTTGCCTAGTAGTTCTTTTATACTTCAATAAAAACAGTTGCTCTTCTTTGTTCAATTAAGCAGCTGCTATGTCTTGCTATTTGAAACCTAGATATCTGTTAATATCTTCTGTGACAACTTCATAAGAACATCTTTTAGGTAACTTGTTTACGTAAGAGCTTGCTGAACCTATTTCTATTCAGTAAGATAAAGGTTTACAGATTAAAAAAGAAACATTGTCATCAACTTTGGGAGTATGTACTGGGAGGGTGGAGGTGGAAGGAAAACTGGGACAGGTGGGAGAACTAAAGGGGGAAGGAAAATGCACATCTTTTCTGTCTGTTCTTGTTCCTTTTTTTTTTTTTTTTTTTGTTTTGTTTCTCCTTTAAAGGACCTTCACCGAACTGGTTGCAGTTCTTACTGTGGCCAGGAGGCAGAGCAAGATCGAGTGGTATTAAAACGCGTTTTGCTGGCTTATGCTAGGTGGAATAAATCTGTTGGCTATTGCCAAGGATTTAACATACTAGCTGCACTTATTCTGGAAGTAATGGAGGGCAATGAAGGGGATGCCCTGAAAGTGAGTAAAATTTTTTTTTTTCAGTGTTGAAGATTGCTTTTAGTTAGTGAACTTTAGAATAAACCAGTGCGTGAATTTTGTAGACAGCCTAAAGGAGCAGGACTCAAAGGAGTTAATCAGTTTATATCTGCGGATTGTTTGTTATCCTGTCTGAGCTAAAATGAACAGTTTGAATGTTATCACTGTCAAAATTTTTATCAAACAGAAACAAATGAGGGCTTGGCCATAATAAAAATAAATGGGAACGCTGCTACTGACTTTAGAATATCTTATCGCATAATCCCAAATCTGCTTCCAAACACTATAGGTAGCTGACACCTTCAGATTCCATTATCAACCTCTTGTGTGGCAGTAGCATGCGAGGCAGTTAATAAATCTGCTGCATTTTAAAGCAAATTCTAGGAAAACACAAAATAAATATTTAAAATGAAAGTAAATCACTTGGAAGTTACTTTCTGGTCTATATTAGTCATACATTGTTTTATTTTTTTAGACCTTTACTATTCTAACTAAAAGAAAGCTTCATGAAATTTATAATATGTCAGAAAATGGAAATACTTTTAAGTTTACTACAGGATGTGGTTTAAGGTTTGCCAAGATCATGTGCAAATTTCCTTAAGTAAACTTGCTCATATGTGTGAGTTGGGGTCAAATTAGTAAAAGATGACTGTGACTCTTGAGATACTGAGCTCTTTGTTTTGCCTTAGACAATGATTTAAATATGGTAAATATTTAAATTTACTCAGAGCTCCTAGAATATAAAGCTTGTGGTAATAGAGTCCAGCTAGCTAGTATTTAATACTTCATTCTAGAGAGGTGCCTGCAATAGGAAGAAAATGCCGTAATATGCCTACTTTATATCAGAGAGTAAAATTTCCTTTCAATAATTCTTGCTAAAAATTTCCGCAGTCTTTTAAACTATTATTTGTCACATTTTATTGTGATCTTATGCTGTCCAGAAGCCCCTAAAACAAGTTATCGTAATACAGGAAATATAGTTGCCCAAGGTTTACGAAGTCCAAATTGATTTTAAGAACCGTGTGCATCCTTATATTATTGGATTGTCTTTTACTGTGACCAGTGTCAGGCTCCTTGTGCTAAGGAGACAATGGAATGGTGCCAGACTGCCCAGGGGAGGTAAAGCACTGAAGGCTGTTGGCGCCAAAATGGGTCTTACCTGGCAAAAATAAGAATGGAAAATAAAGTCATTTCTTTTCCAAGCTTAGTGCGTGGGCTTGGCAGGGTTGGAGTTTCCCCAGAAGAGGGAGGGAAAAGGGAAGAGGTGGGGGGGGAAGGAACAGGAGGAAAAAAAAAAGGAATTGGCGGTTAGTATGTGTTTTGTTATTGTAGTCACTGTGCCGTCTAAAGCAAGTGATGAGTGACTTCGGAACAGCTGCAGAGGCTGTTGGCTCTAAAGCTGCCCTCAGGATTGGAGCTATGGGGAAACTATGTTTGGATTATTGCAGAGTCTAGGAGTTAAGGGAGCACGGGGATTCTCGGGGCTCGCCAGTCAGGTCCCCTTTCTGGGAAGGACATTATAAACAAAAGCTCTGTGTCTGGGAAGTGTCTCCCAGAGGCTGAGAAACAGCTGGAACTACGGACATCATGGGGCTTTAACAGCACAGGAGCCCACATGGTAGCTTCAGTGAACGCCCAGCCAGGGATGTTTGAGTCTTCACTAGTTAAGGTAAGCATGTTTAAGTTAAATCCCTTAAGGCACCTCAAAGTTAGCCAACTGAAATTACGGTAAGCAAGAAAATCACAGCTTGCGTGTATAGAAGCTATCACAGTATACATAAAAGTCTCATAGATACTGAAACTTAAAAAACATTTTCTCCTGCACATTATTGTGGGGAAATATTACGAAGTCAAATAATAAAAAGAAATGTGTAGAGAGAGATATCATGAAGAATGTATCTATTGCAAACTGGTAAATGTGTGAAGCTGCTTTTTTCAAAAAGCATTCTCAAAACAATTGACATGGCAGTGAAATAGAATGGACTTCAGTGTTTCAAAAAGATTTCTGTTCTTTCCTATGCTCTCATATATGTGAGATTTCTTGATTTTGCTCCCACCACACAGTGGGAAGGGAGCAAAAGCCTTTATAAAATGGTTTCTTTAAGGTAGGGATTTATGGCTTACGTCATAAGAAATTAATGAAAACACAAATAGCATAGTTGTAAGTTAATGTTGTTATATTAAATTATTCTTCCATTGGTTGAAATATTTCGGAACAAAATAAAGCATATTTTTAAAAGACAATAAGGTGTCCTAGTATTCAGCAAAGGCTAGGGAATGCATCTGAGAAAATATGAGACTCCAGCTTACTTGCGTACTCTGTTTTGATCACCTATTTCCTTTCAATCCTTAAAACTTAACAAAACCAAAAAAAAGCCATCAAAAATGTGTAAAACCTGTTGATTTGCCTGTATCAACTACTGATCTACATGCTTTAAAACATGGAACAGAAGACTCTTATTGCCTGAAAAAATCTTGCAAGGACAAGTGGTAGTATGTGGTCACAAGCAGCTGGGAGAGAAAAGGAAGCAGTAAGGCTGTGTAAGGTGGTGCTCTTGGAAGTCCAAGTGTCTGCCAAGCTGTTTTTGTGGGCATCTCATGAAAAGAGAGGGATTGGAAGGAGGATTGTCTCCTGTGTATAAAGATGCCATGCTCCTCTCAAGCATTAGAGGCTGTATGAAACAGATGATGAGCATGCTCATTTGAAATTTTAACAAAGGGGTAATGGAAAGTTGAAAGAGATGGGATGACTGCGTGCAGGCAGTCATCTGGATGCAGTTCATAGAGTGGCCATAGAGATTGTAAAAGATCCTGAAGTGAAGGTCAGCATCTTCTGTTGGGCTGATGATATACATCAACTTCTGCATATTTCTTTGCTGCATTTGTTCATTCCCAGAAGTTTGACAATACCCAGTTAATACATAACCACCCATGTAGTTGAGCTATCTCACTTGAAACAGATGTCTGTTTAAAATGTCTCATGCTGCTTAATTTAGCACTTTTTAAAGTGACAAGATGAAGTGCAGCACACAGTAACACATCACAGTAAAACGTGTGGAGAACGTTTTTTAAAGAACAGTGTCTTGCATTTTGGAGAGGGGGAAAAAAGATTATTTGGACGATCAGTCTTCTAGTTGTGGCAGTTAACAACCAGAGAAGGGACAGTGGAACTTTACAACAGTGTGGACAATCTCATAAACACGTACAGCATCAGAAGTGCCAAAAGTTGCCTTTGGTTTGAGTAATGCTTCCAATTTGGGCATAGCTTACTGTGACATTGATTTCGGTCATTAATGGTTCATAAATTCTGGACAGCTTCAAGAGGCCTTTGCACCTTGCTTACTTGTGGATACCTAGAGTACCTGTGGATGCTTAAAATGATAATGTTTTCTCCCCATATAAATGGAGATACCAGAGGTATGTGTTGCCACTGGCTCCAAGCCATTCTGTAGTGAACAGAGAACTTTAAAATTCTGTATTTTTTTTTCTGTTATTCCTAGAAAATAACTGGCTCTGTAAATTCTACGTGATTATATTTCATTTTCTCCACAGATAATGATTTACCTAATTGATAAGGTGCTTCCTGATAGCTATTTTGTCAATAATCTCCGTGCTCTCTCTGTGGATATGGCTGTTTTCCGAGATCTCTTACGAATGAAGCTTCCTGAACTCTCCCAGCACTTAGACACCCTGCAAAGAGCTGCTAACAGAGAAAGTGGAGGTAGGTTCAACAGAAAATTCTGTTAAATTCCTTTTTGCTATTGTTTCATCTGAGCACTGGTCTAAAAATACAATCTTTTAAGTGTTTACATGAGTTTATTGCTTAGAACATATATTTTAAATTGTTAAGGTGAAAGATGACGGTTTCCATTATTGATAACATAAATAGATGGCGCTCTCAGGAAAAAATAAAGGGGAGATAATTTGGTCCCACCACTAACTGCAAACAGAGTTGTGTTGACAAGGATGTAAAATATTTGGAGTGACAACACTGTAACGGGCAGCTTAGTACAAGGGCTACCTTGAAAATGTTATTTCTTGCCTTAGCCCAAGATACCTGTCCTACCATTGTTCCTTGTAGTTGCTAGCTTACATAGCTGTTCTGGGAAGAGTTACAATGCGAGAGCCAATGGTGGCTTGTTAGTATTTCTTCACCTGGATGCTTAGCAATATGCAGGTGTAAAACTCTCAAGTACTTCTTGGGTTGCTACCTGAAAACTGGCTTTGCACTGTGATCGCCCCCCCGCCTCTCCCCCCCCCCGCCCGGGTATAGCATTCCCTCCAGACTTTTTCTTTTTTTAAACAAGATACAGCTCTTTTATTTGGGAGTGTTTTGGGGAGGGTGGGTTTTTTGTTGTTGGTTGGGTGGGTTTTTTTCAGTCTGGAAGCTAAGTGCACCCTGAGTTTCATCTTAGAAAAGATCTGCTACCATGTTCTTTGTAAATAAACCGTGACTGTGCCCAAACTGTGTAAAAACAAAGGGTATCAAGGAAGTATTTGCTGTTTTCACAGGCAGCAGCCTCTTTGGTCATGGCCTTCAGTTCATCAGTTGATACTAGGATGCACAAAGTGTTCTCTGAGCATAACAAGAAAGTAAAACTTTGGAGTTTCAGGCTGAAATACTAAATCTTGTTTGAAACTTAATAAGCCAAAACGAAAACTGAGTGTGTTACAGTTGCTTATGCTAAGCTGGCAGTGCATCAGGATATTAAAACAATAGACTTTACAGAGACGGTCACTTCACCTTCATGTAGATAGAGACTTCTTATGTCATTAGTTTCTGAAGAAATGCAGCGGTTTTGGGGGGGGTTTGATGGTGGTTGGTTTTTTTTTTTGTTGGTGGTGTTTTGTTTTGTTTAAGAAAAGCTTTTAGCTCATACGGCTTTGGGGAAGGAAAAGCAATTTTTCTGATGTAAAAAAAAAAAAAAAGTGTGTTGGTGTTTTCCAAGTTCAAAACCAATGCTGCTGCTTAGAGCTTTTTGCAGTGCAGAGAATGAAAGGTGCTCAAGTATGTCATTTTTCCATCGCTCTTTTTCTCAGCTTATCTTTGGACAGCTGCAGGCTAATTAAGTTTTGAGCAATAACAGAGGCACTGTCTGGTGGATTTCAGTATGCAGTTTGTACTCCTTGTAAAATAATAGTAAATTACAATTACTTTAAGCTTTTTTTTTTTTCAGGAGGCTACGAACCCCCACTTACAAATGTCTTCACAATGCAGTGGTTTCTGACCCTCTTTGCCACTTGCCTACCTAACCATACAGTTCTGAAGATCTGGGATTCAGTATTCTTTGAAGGCTCTGAAATTATACTGAGAGTAGCTTTGGCTATCTGGGCAAAGTTAGGAGAGTAAGTGGTCACTTTTATCTGATTTTTCTTTTCAGTATGAGCAATGTGGGTAACATATTGTTCAGAAGAGCGTTTTCTCAATTCTAAACAGGATGCAGCCTTTCAGGAGGATGATTCTGCTTTGAAAAAGCTGCACAAAATGCCTCTATGGCTTCCCCAAAAACATGTGCTTCTGACATGGTGTCAGAATGGGCATGATAATTAATTGACCCTGGCTGCACGAAATGTCTCCATTTGTTTGCATTGTCTGTGTATAATGTCTTCATGCTATGCTAAAAGGTTGGTTGGACTTTCCGGAACATAGACCTCTGAGGAAGCTGGTAAATACTCTGTGGAAAGACATACAGAGAGGCTTGAGGGTCACTAGCTAATTTAGTTGGGTAGCTGAAGCTGGGGTTGTTAATTCCCTTATTTTCACTTAAGGATTTGAGTCCATTGGCTATACCCAAGAAAAGAGTTCAGTGTTACTAAGAGAATGATTCAGTGTTACACAGTTCTTTTCTGTTAAGGCCTGCAAACAAATTGTCCTGAAATTCTCTGCTTTTAAGCACATTCTAGCCAAGTTTCTATTACAGTCCTTTATGGCCTTGGAAACTCACCACATAGGACAAAACACAAGAGATGGTTAGTTCACCTAAACTCCTCTGTTGTCATAGCAAATATTTGCATTCCAAAGAGTGTACAGTGCTCCCGGAGAAATGAGTTTTCTGACTGACTTCAGTGGGAGGTGTGAGCTCTGACAGGTTGAGCAGATGTTAGTTCAGCTGGAAACTTTTTTCAGCTGGCGTCAGCAGCTGCATCAAATTTTTCTTGTGATGCCTGTCAACACTCACCTTCCTTTTTGCCCTGAGACTGAACCACTGGGATTTATGTTCAGCTTTGTCCTTGGAGGTTTCATTTCTTTTTTCTTTCTGAATAAATTAGCACTGCAGGCGAGTAGCATTGTAAGAGACTTTGTTTAGTGTATTTAATTTATAATCTGAAGAATAATAATTAGAGTAATAATTTCCTAAGAGCTTTATTTGTTCAGTTCATGAATGAAACTTGCATGAATCATTTGCATTCGGGTTAAGCTATATGTAGTTCCATTGTACTTTATTACTTTGTACTATACCTTTAGATAAAAGGTCCTATTGCAGTGGGTCTCTGGGCACTTAAAAGCTGTAATTAAAAATGTTCCAACTCATAACATGATAAAAAAGAGAGTCAATGCTTTGAAGATTTTACTGCAAAACTTAAAACAAAAATGAAATGTGTTTTATAAAAATTGGAAGGAACAGAATGAAGAAATCTATAAGGATATGTTCAAAAGAATAAGCTGATCACACTGCACACCTTGTGACTATTGTTTGTGGGGAATGGGAGAAGGTCTGGCAGATTTGGGGGCAATTAACAGAACGGGACATTGGTGTGATAACTAGAGATCCAGAAGACGATGAGTCAGTAAAACTGAACAAGAATTGAAATTCAGTAAACTTGTTATTAACAATATCAAATGAGATGAGGAAGTAAAAGATCGGGCACAATGTCTTTGCTAGGAGAAGATTGTGATTTTGTTCCTCTTCTCCGCTAGAAACAGAACAGGGAGATTTAAAGAAGTGGGGCCTGAAACAGTGATCATAGTCTCCTGATCTTTATACTTCTCAAGACTGTCTTTCTAGTCATGAAAATGGGGTGAGAAGTGCTTTTCCTAAAATGCGGGGGGTTCAATCATACTTCTGTTTTGAGGGAGACTGAAGGAATGGGGAGGTTAAAAATAGGTGCAGTAGAGAAAGCAGTATGTGGAGGTCATGAGAGACTGAAGGTATGAGGGAAGGTAAGAAGTAAGTTTGTGATAATTGGCTACATACCCATTGTTTCAACGTTTTTTTTTTTTACTACTTAATCATTCTTTTAGTTAAACTATGTTCAGATTTCAGTAGGAGTTTCATAGTTCAATAGTTTTTCTCTACGGACACGGAAGATCAAGGGAAGCTTTCTGTTCTAATCCTAAAGAAAAAAGGCTGTGTACTTTTTTGGTTATTCCAGCAGCAGTAGTTTACAGGGGAGGCTACAATATGTAGCCAGCGATGCACTTGTTTGAGATACAAGTAAATTTTCACTTGATGGGAGAGGATGTTTAGCAGCTGACCCTAACGTATGTAGAACAGCAACTCACAAAAGCATATTACTCGTATTTTTCTTCCTCTAGCTGATGCTTTGTGGGTGATTCTGTGTTTTTAGAAGTTTAAAGAAGAGTGTGGGGGAAAAAACCAAACACACACCCCCCCAATCCCCAAAACCAAACAAAAAAACCCCAAAACAAACAAAAAAGTCTGTAACTCTGATGTAGAAATAGCTTTCACAAGTATGCAGGATATGCATAGGAGTGAATTTTCCTTCATCCTGCATTATGTGAGCTCAGCTCTTTTGAATACGACATGTATAAATACACCTGTACTTAATTTACTCCACCGGAATGTTTTCTGGCCAGCAAATACGTTCCAATCTGACAAAAAGACAGTTCAACCAGTGAATTCAGCCATTTGGCGCATAGTGAAGAATGCTTGATGAGGCAGTCACGAAATCTTTATGCTCCCTTTCTGAGCTGATGGGAGAGCTCCCTTGTGCTAGTAGGAGGCAGGATTTGTTGATTATCATGTTGTAGAAGGGAAAAGAATAACCTGTCTGGACATGCATGAATCCTTTATTGTGAGTAGTCAGGACAGTAAGCTGTGCTCAGTACATCCTTTTACTGCACCAGTATTTCCAACATGGTGTGCACAGTTTTATTATTTGGAAGTGTAGGGAGGATTGCAATAAACTTAAAAATTAAGGTCACTAATAGAAGCGCATATTTTATGATGACAGAAAGTTCAGTTTTGGTTTGGAGGTGTATAATCGTATGTAAAAGTAAAATAAAAAACCGACATATGTTTTGATGTAGGCAAATAGAATGTTGTGAAACTGCAGATGAGTTTTACAGTACCATGGGCAAGCTGACCCAGGAGATGCTGGAAGACAGTCTGATTGACAGCAATGAACTCATGCAGGTGCGTAATTGTGATATAATTGTTTGTGTTTTCTGTGTGTCCTTTAGGTGCTGATTTCTAACAAATTACATTGTTGTTCAGATACTGCAGAAACCTAAACTCTCCCAAGAATAAAAGTTTAAGATAACTGAGTTGAGCTAGCATGTCAATGAAACAAACAGATGACCTGCAGTTAAAGCTAAAACCTTATCTTATACATTAAGTATAGAGAACCACTAGGCTCCGTTTGATAAAAATTGGTTGTATGTTGACAGCTGAAAGTTTGTTGTGATACAATGTCCAATTGGATTTGCGCAAGCAGTATGTAGAATCTTTTAGTAGTCATAATTTTTAGGGTATTTTATTTTTATGTTTTGGCCAGTTATTTATTACATTGTGTCCTTTTCATTCTGCAGACACTGTGGGAGACAAGAGTTTATCAAGTGAGGAGGGGAAAAAAAATCCTTCATGATTTAAAAAAAAGCCATGAACAGTCATCAGTGAACAATAAACAAAGACATTTGTAGATAATTGCAGTTCCTGAATTCTTAAAGCGTATGTCATTGTATGAGAACAAAGATCCACATTGTTCTGGGAAAGGAAAGGGCCTTTAGTGTTACAGATGTAATTGTATTGATTTGCACTTACACTTTTTTTTCTGGTATCCTTGAGGTGTTGTCTACTTACATGTTTTATAAAGACTTCATGCTACAGTTCTGGAACTTTGCTTTTGATGAGTTAGAGTATGGTGATTAAATGGGTGCAAATACAGAGCACATAATTTATCTGAAATTTTTTGCCTGACTTAGGGGAAGAAAAACAAAGTCAGTCTCAGGATATGAAGTTGGATGATTTTGTTACAGTAGTTAACAGGTGACTACTGTTACCCATTACTGAAAGCAAAACTTACTGACTGGGATAATACACTTCCATTGTCTGGTGAAGTACTGCTCTGAAGTAAAGGATCACTTTCAGATTTTTGGCTTTTGTTATTGCTGTTGTTTTGTTTAATGAGCGAGCTCTAGGAATGAGAGAGGTGAGCACTCTGGCTTTGTTTTGCTTCAAAAATGGAAATGCAGCTGGTCAGAGGTATTCCAATGCTTTTTAAATAAGTGTTAAGGTTTCTCACAAGGCAGTTCAGATATTGAGGATGCATGAGGAGGGTGGCCCAAGCTGACGCCTTTTCATATTAATTGTGTTTCAGTTCCTGGTCTCAAGTGCAGTATAAAGTCAAGATGTGTCATTTGTGACAAAGAGTAATGTTGGGAAAACTGAAGTGGGCTTTAGTGACTCAGTGTGGATTTCTTTCTTCGCCGTTGTGTGTAGTAGAAGATAAGGCATAGGTAACTTACTGGTTGGAGGGATGGAAGGATCTGTTTGGTTTTTTAACTGTTGCAATTACAAGTATACTACATTACAGTCTTTTTGTGCTTCAGCAAAAAATAAGCGCTTGGTGCAAAGTATATATGTATTGATAATGTGTATTTTGTGACACTGACGGGAGCGTTAAGGTAGGATAGCACTTCCATTGATATGGAGAATGTGACAGGTTTGTTTTCTGCATAGAGAAGCAGTGTGTCTATTTTACGTGTGTCCTCTCAGTTGAAGAAACCACACTATAGCTTAGATAGCATTCTTCAAGTCAAAGACAGGCACTGCCAGTGTAGCTGTCTCCATCTGAGGTGTTCACTCTAGGCTCTTATTACTGTAAGTGGAAGGAATTAGGCACTACAAGTGTTTACCATTAGGGAATAGAAATGCCACCATGTGCCTGGCTGCTGCATTTGAACAATTTTCTCTGTGTTGGAGAAGAAAATAAAGAAATTTGAACCATTGCATTAATGAAAGGATCCAGGCTGCTTGAAGACACTGACTTTTAAATTGCTTTAGGCTTTTTCAGAGGAGTCAGCCAGATATGAATGTTTAGACTGCTTTGTTTTCAAATGTTCTTTTTTTTTTTTTCTCTTTTTTCCCTGATCAAAATCAGACTGGTGAATTTACATCTAATACTTTTTACAAGGTGGCTTAAGGATTAGTATCCTACTGCAGGAAAGGATTAATATCCTACTCTGCCTTCCCTAAAGGTTGCTGGTGGCAATCATCTCACTTTTCTTTAGACTTGCATGACACTTACATTTGCATCTGAACTACCTGTACAGGCTCACTGAAGCCAGAGAAGAGTAACAGGCACTTCTCCGCCACTAGAAAACAAATTGTGCTGTAAAAGGCCTGTTTCCTTTGGGAGTTGGAGGAGGGAGGTATGGCTTTAGGGGCAAGTGTTGATGGAGCAGATGTCTCGAGTAGATCAAAGGACTCTTGTCCTCATTCTTTCTACCAGCATGTATAGTTGGTGCAAGTTTATCATTAAAAATGCCTGCCTCCCTCCCTCCCATGCAGACAGTACTTATACCTAGGATTGAGGGCTTAAAGTTTTTGCAGATTTGGCCCTTGCATGGCAAGAGTTCTTACAATGTTGTGCTGAGGAGAGCATGGAGGGATTGGAGGAGCAAGCAAGCCTACAGCTTCCTCCTTTTTCAGATTGAATAGTTTAGGTAAATAAAGGATAAGTGCTGTACACATCAGATGCTAGACTGGGTATGTATTCAGGACTAGAAGTTAAACAAATACAGTATTCAGTAATGTCATTTTATTGGCCTATTAATAAACTTTGGTTCTAACATGGAGACAGAAGGCTGTATGCCAGGTGTCTGCAGATATTCTAAACAGCATGTGCTAGATTGAGTACACGCTTTCATGCCTTCTCGGAAAGCGAGCATTTTTATAAGCAGCTAAACTAATTCAGTTTGTATGCCTAGAAACATTCCAGTGTAGAGGAGATGAGGAGCAAACAGGAAAAGGAGAGGCATCCCTGTGTGTTACTGTGGTGGAGGGGAACAGGGATTAATCTCTCTGTAGTACCCTAGCATTTTAGACTGTCTCCCGTAGACAGTTACCCTGATTTGATGGTATTCACTGTTAACTTTCTACTTGAGTAGCACTTTGTCTGTTTTCTTTTGGGTTTGTTTTTGGTTTTGCTTTTTGTTTTGTTTTCTTAGTGAAAGTGAAAAGAGAGAGGAGCCTTAAACCGGTGTGGGGTGGCTCTTAAGATAAGTGTGTTTGAGCAAAACTGCTTACCCTCTTTTGGAAGCCACAGCCCAAAACCTTCTGTGTGGTATTCTGCTAAGGGCGTAGATGGCTTTGCATTTTTAGGGTAAGGCAAAGGATTGACAAATGCTACTGATTTAAGATCAGAAGAGAGATTTCTTCCTTGTCTTTTTTTCTTGTTCCCAGAATCTGTCCCTTATCGCCATAAATAAGATAATAAGTTTGGCTGCATCATGCTTCATATGTGTAGGCTGTTTCCCTCTGGCACAGTTTCACCAGAATTAACCAAATGGCATCCAAGGCTGTGTACAAACTAGGAACAGGATGCTTTGACTCTGAAGCATTGCTGTGAGGAGATCACAGGTGTTGACTGACAATATTTTTTTTAATTTCCAGTGGAACTTGTATCAGCATAAAATTTGTTTGTGGACCTCTTAGCCAGGTGGCAAGCGAGGCCTCCAGTTATAATCTGATAACAAGTAATTAAGTTAAAAACATGTATGCTAAATGAAAGAAATTGCACAGGATCTGGAAGAGACACAGATTGGAGACAGGCAAAAGCTAAAAGCATAATCTAAAACAGTAGGTGCAAGGAGTAAATGGAGGACTCGGAGTCGATGGTTTTGCTTAAAGGGTAACTAGCATATGGAACAAGTTACCTGAAAAGGCTGTTGACATAAAGAGTAGAAATAAATTCCAGACACACCTCCTTCTCTATGAAGGGAGAGAGTTGAGACATATGGGGAAAAAAAACAGGAAAGTGTGGCGGAGATCAAACAAACAGGCAGACATGTTGGGCCGGAGGTGGGTCTTTCTCCAAATCATAAAATTCCTTCATCTGGTAGACTGCCAGGAAATCGCTGTTCAAGCCCTAGAGAATATTTGTCTTTCCCAGTAGCATTGTAGTTTCATGGAGTGGCAAAGCGTCAGTTCATGCTCTGGGTTTTTGTAGGCATTCTCCTTGCCTTAGAGTCTCTGCATGGCTTGAGCTGTAAAAGCATTTTCACACAGAAGCCTGTTGAGCTGCTCTATTGCCCTGTGCCTTATCCAGCCAGGAGGGTCCTTTCTGCTCCTCATTGCTTACATCATTGCCGTTGGTGAAACATTTTTTTTTTCTTCTTCTTCTGTCAGGAAAGGTCTAGTACTGAATTCATGTTTGCGATTTTCCTTAGTGTATTTAGTACAGACAAGACATGGTTCAAGAATGGAGCATGTAGAAATTGTTCAAAATTTCCTTTCCTCTTAATTGAGACCGTTTTGCCTTCAGATTAAAATGTCACTGACTTAATAGCACAGGAAAAAAAGTATATAAGTGAAGATTTTCTGTCATAGCTAATGAGAAATTTTTACGTTACTGTCTTTCAGATGACATTTAATATTCAAGATGGGGAAAAGTTATGATTTTTCAAAGAAACTATGAGAAATTATATTTCGGCTATGTTTTTCTTTTTACTTCTGACATTGAGACTCCCAGTGAGTTTTGTGTTAGTTATTTGAAAGTCCTGAATAGTTGTAAGTGTACAAAAGCAGGAAAAAAAAAGGCAACTAAAATATCATTCACTGCTATTCAAATCAGCAGTGATGTTGCAATGAATATGATGTGTCTTTATGCCAGGTTGGCTGGTGACACACATTCTGTTATACAAAATGACTTAAAGCAAAAATAATGCTGAAAGCAAATGCATTTGCAACTATTTATCTTCTTTAACTCTGAGTATTGAAGTAAATAAAATGTGTTAGAGTTTTTTTATGGCCTTGTTTTAAGTTCTAGGGACTACATGTTGAGTTCAGAGAGTTGCAGAGAGGTTTCTTTGTTCACCATAGAACAAATTTCTTTTAAAAAACACAATACCCCCCTCCCCCCCCCCAAAAAAAAAAAAAACCACCACACCAAAAAAGCACAAAACAACCGAAAGCAGAAACTGAGAGGAGAAAAGTTAGCTGGATAATGTTGCGTCCTTCCTCTTTGGCCATAACTTTTGTGTTGAAGTGATTTCCTTCACACAAGCTCTTGGGGCTGCTCAGGTGAAGTAATGGATCTGTTAACAGTCCACATCAAGTGAGGATCTGCTCCTTCCTATCTGTGCTAGTGTCAATACCTTGTTGAATACTTGAGCAGAAACATAGGTCTTCTGGAAGATCCCAAAAACCTCAGTGATGCATTAATGTAAGTGAAGTCATAATTGGAGGCGGAGGAGGATTTCTGGTGTGCTGGCAAGGAGAGGATTGACGATGATTATTAAATAAGTACAGGAGTTGAAAGGAACCCTACATCTCATGTTACCTGTTCCATTTTTATTTTTTTTCCTCTGAGCCATGTATTTTTCTAGTGAGTCAGTCTTTATTTTTCTTACAGGAAATACTGACTGAATCATAAAACTGTACCATTTCCATTTTTTTACAGCACATGAGAACATGCAGCCTTTAATCCTGCAAGACTGTGAAAGTGTGTTCATGGAGAAATCTTTTGTGTGACTGTTAGTTAAAGTGACAATTTTAAAAGCTGCATTTTTTTTTTCTCTAGACTGTTTATACCATGGCTCAGTTTCCCTTCCCACAACTGGCAGAATTAAGGGAGAAATACACATACAACATTACTCCTTTCCCTGCAGCAGTAAAATCAACTTCACTTTCAGGGTAAGTTTGAAATGCACTGCTTATGGCATATAGGGTTATTGTTTACCCTACACAGATAGTGAAAAGGCAGGTGGCATTCTCCCTTGTATGCTTCTAAAGAAGATGAAGATATTTGGTAATGATCATATTTAAGAATGTCTCTTTCTGATTTCTCCTATGTTCTCATTTGACAGAAGGCTAGGCAGAACCAGAGACAGTGATGAGGAGAATGACCTAGATGATGAAGACTCAATTGCCAATGCAATTGGCTGTCTTGGACCATTAAGTGGGTTTTTGGCACCAGAGCTCCAAAAGTACCAAAAACAGATGAAAGGTAAAAGTGCTTTTGTTCATTTTGGAAAATGTAGTTAAATCTGCATGACCTTGCAGAAATCATCTGTAGCTTCTTCTGTGAAAGCTGCTATGAAAATTGTATTTTATATTCTCATAGAGATTACAGCAGGTACCACATGACTTGCCCTGTGGTCCATGAAGATGTCTCAAAGTCAAGTTTGAAGGCTGTATGTATACAATAAATGACAGTTGGCTACAGTAATGGTTAAAAAAACCACCCACAAAAAAAAGAGCACATGTGTGGGGAAAAAAGTCCACCCTAAATCCATGCTAATTTCAAGAAAGCTGTTAGGTAGTCAGCATTTTCTGAAGAGTGTACATGTAATAAATAATCTTGACCTTTATTAGCAGTGAGTGAATTCTGCAGGTCATTTCACCACCCTTTTGGCCAAACCTTCAGACTGTTGTATGTTTTGGGTATATTCACATTTTAATAAAACTGGGTATGGTTTAAAGTGTTCTGGCAAAACGTCACTATTTTTCAAATTCCTCCACATTGAAATAAAATTTCTGACAGAATTGTATGTTCACCTGTGCAAGCTCTACAAGCAGAACAAAATTCTGATCCATACAAGAAAAGCAGATCATTTGTTAACTTGCAGCAGCCTTTACGAAATGGTACTTGGATCAACAGTGATTTTGCGGTATCCTGGGAGAGGCTGTAGTTATTTATCCCCAACCCACTCCCACCTTCCCCCAGAAAAAACCCAGACTGATGTAGCAGTCGCTGTTACCTGATTACACATCATCATTCTTGTGCCTTGGTTTTGCTGAGACCTGTAAGGTGCAATTTTCCTCTTGATTACTGTGCTGTTTTGTTTTTCTCTTCCTGAGGGACTCTAAGTCTCTACCTGCTGCTTCAAGCTAGCACTTAGTCAGAACATCAAACTGCTGTTGCAAACCAAGCCAAAGACAAACATTCCTTGAAAAAGAATTATCCCCTTAACCCTGGAGTGCCAGTTTGGTGGTGCATCAGAAACAGCTGTGAAAATAAATTGCACTGCTGCTGTTGCTCTGCAGCTGTTGATGAGAGACACTCTCAGATTGCTTGATCCTCAGCTGCTCTGTGTCTATCCCTTTTGTTGCTGCTAGCAGCTTTCTCCCTGTGGTGCTATAACTGTTTCTTGATGCTTCTTGCTTGTATCACTAGGTCGGTTGTTTAATCTCGTGCCTGCTTGACTGTAATGTATTTTATAACTTGCATTGTTAGCCTCCTCTTTGACCAACTGAGTGTCTTTAATAATCAGTTTCTGAATTACTTTAATGATGGCTTGATGTACTTTTGGGTAATTGAAGAACTGTGTTTATAACTTTGCATTGCTATATTAATTGACTTTTATACTCTTTAAACTCCCCTCAAACACTTGCTATTCTTAAGCAGTAGTTCTAGAAATGTAATACTTCTTATTATAAATAGTGCAGCTTTGTTAAATATGCATATTATAATAAATTTTTAATTAAAGGATACCGTTAAATAAGACGATAGGAATCAGACATACATTCCCTTCCCATACATCTTCCTTGTAGATAATCTGCAGAACTCTTGTGTCTGCCAATTTACTCCTCATCACCACTTTATTCCCTCTGTGCAGATCAGAATGAAGAACAAAGTCTGGGTTCCAGTAACATTGCAGAATTAAGTCCAGGAGCAATAGACTCTTGCCGAAGCGAGTATCATGCTGCTTTTAACAGCATGATGATGGAGCGTATGACCACTGATATTAATGCACTGAAAAAGCAATATTCCAGGATAAAGAAGAAGCAGCAACAGCAGGTTCACCATGTCTATATCAGAGCAGGTAACATATCAAAACATGCTTCATTTACTGATTCATTACAAGCTAACTTCATCGTAGGAGACAAGACAAGTAACATTCTTTTATGTTTAACCAAATAAACAAAACAAGAGAGACTGTTGGAATTTATAACACATTAGTAGTAAAGTGAATACCACTTCGTACAGACAGATTTTAAATGAGAAGGTGATGTTTTTTCTTCTTTTGTCAGGATCTGAAGATGACGACCCTGGGATTTTTTTAGGTCCCAGGGACCAGCTGAACAATGGTATTTAAAAGTGTCTTTGCTATCTGGGTGCATTGTGTTGATCTCTGTGATTAAAAACTTTAAATCTTTGGCATTCTTCGAGTTGACATACTGATGCACTGGAAAAAGTGAAATGAGGAGATGCGTACACTTCAGACCAAGTGGCAGGTAGATTCCTAGCTGGTCTGTATTATCCTAACTCCTCTGAGTTCATCCGGGCATGGCAAATTACACAACTGAAAAACTGGCTTAGGTGTTCCATTGTGGCTGACAGTTTACCTAGCCATAATGATACTGCTGTGAGGATGGAGCTGGACATCAATCTGTTACTTAGCGATCCACGTTAAGGAGTCTATTTCCCCAATTGGCAAACGCAACAACGCAGGGGTTAGCATGACCAGCGCAGCTGAAGGTTTTAGTGGGTGTGCAAGCTGAACACAGCCCACCCCACTCGTTCCTTCCCACCCCCACTATGGGTGTTACCTTTCTAAGTCAGCATTAAACCAGGCAGGTGGGTCACTGTGGAGAATTTTTATTCCTTTTCTAGATTGTCTAAACTTGTCCTTGCAGGAGCATTTGAATACATAGAGCTGCAATTTTTCATTAACATCATTTGTAAGGATTTTTTTTTTTTTAAATATTGGCAAAGTATTTGCTTTGAACAAAGGCTGTAGCCAGCAGAAACAGTGCAAACAGTAAAATGTTAATTCCCAAGGATTGCCAACCCCCATCCCCCAAACACAAACCTTTCTAATCTCACTAATCACGATGTGGGGCTGGATATGTGGTTTAATCAAACTGCCATCTAATTACCTAATTCTGAGTCTACTGCTCTGGTTTAATAAGAGGACCTAATAGAAAAGAGTTGGTGCGGTTTATCCATTAAAAATACATTGGTTCATTCTCCAGTCACGCAAGTCTCATGGAGAGGCTTATTTGACTGACCTCATATAGAGACTGAATTGCCTCTCACAGTTGGAAAAGAAATGAAGGAGAGGGGAAAGATCAGAAGCCAATATTAATGTTAAACTATCAGTTACGGTGCAATTCCAAAAATTGAGAGGCTTTTTTTGTTATGATATGGTATTCCTGGCTCAGGACTTACCCACAGGTAAGAAGCAAGGTGGGAGGACAGGAAATCTTTATTATAGAAGTTACAGCTTTGTGTTCGACTCCAAGATGTAAGAGAGATTCAGTGATTTTTTTTTTTTTTTTCCCTTTCCCCCCCAGTTTTTTTTTAAATAGCAGTCATTCCTACAAATGTTTGCTATACCTCAAGAAAGGTGTCAAATTTGTGGTGATTCCTTGGAACATTAATTTGTTTTGTTCTTTAACAATACTGTGTTTCTTTTAAACACTTTCTTTCAGACAAAGGGCCAGTTACCAGCCTCCTCCCTTCTCAGGTAAACCATTCCCCTGTGATAAACCACCTCCTTTTAGGAAAGAAGATGAAACTGAATAACAGGTCTCTCAAAAATGCTGTTATTCACATCCCAAGTCATGCTACGGGGAAGATGTCTCCCATTCCCCAAGAAGATCTTAAACCAAAATTGAACTCTCCGTGGCGCACTCACATACGAGTTCATCGAAAGAATATTGCTAGGGCCAAAGGCCAGCTGGGCTACGGGGATACCATAGGCCTAATAGATGAGCAGAGCGAGAGCTGTAAAACAAATAGTCCTGGTGCAAAGGAGGAGACTTCCAAACATTCTGACTTTGGAGAAAGAGAAGGAGGTGGTTTGGATGACAGGACTACTCGAAAAGCTGACCAGCAGTCGTCTGAGCCGGTCTCTACAGACAGCAGTACAAACATGTCAGTAGTTCAGCTAAAACTGGAAGCACTGGAACTCGCCTCAGATAATAACACTGATGCTGAGTCAACATCCCATCAGTCCGGCCAGCCACGTTTATCTGAGTCCTCCAGTTCATCCAGCGACAGTGGAAACCTGGCTAAATCTCCACAGGCTGGGAACCCAAAGCCGCAAGTCTTCAATCCTTTTCCCAGTGTCAAGCCTCTTCGAAAGTCAGCTACAGCCAGGAATTTAGGGCTGTACGGCCCCACTGAAAGAACGCCAACTGTACACTTCCCACAAATGAGCAGAAGTTTCAATAAGTCTGCCAGTGGCAACAGTGGGACCAGGAAACGATGAGGTACTACCTGGCACTTTTTATTTCTGACAGCAACAAAAAATTTATATTGCTTTTTTTTTTAATGTGTGCGTGTGTATGTGTGTCCCAAAGCATTTCTAATCGTTAAGTAAGTAATGGGGACAGAAGTGGTTACCAGGTGTATAAATATGTGTCTTTGAAAATTGTGCTCCCGTGTTGTTATGGGACAGATTAGTGAAGAGGCACTCTGGCACCCTATTGTCAATTCTGATGGTTCTTGGTAAAATAAACATTGATTTGCAGTGTGAAGGATACTGTCTCTTTAAATCTAACTCAGACATAAAATCACCGGCTGCCTTTAACCCCTCGGCCCCCCATGGCTGCCTCCTGTCTCTTTCAAAGCTCAAAGGACAGATTGTCTGGTGCAGCAGACACATGTAACAGTTTCTGACTGTTATGCAGCTTCCCCATTAGACCTCATCATCATGCTCTCTGAGTAGCTGGAGAAGCCATGACTAACAGAAGCACAAGCAGCCCTAGCAATCAAAACTATCACTTTGTGTCCAACATTACCACTTACCTGCCGGGCCATCTGGCTTCAGACATTCTTGAGCAGCATTTTGTGCTTCTCTTCCCACAGCAGTCCTCTGCTGATACTGTTTTTAATATAAATGTAGTTGGTGAACATGAGAATAGTAGACGTAAGTCCATCCACAACAGTGGTTTGCTCCTTTTCTGTTATGTATGTACATACATTTCTGTTACTTACTGCTGGAGAGTTGCAGCACTGCAATATTAGGAATTAGGTACAACTATATGTGTAGTTGTATGAATATTATGACACATCTTGGCTTCAGTGGATTTAAAAACTATTATGTAGATTACAGACTTGTAATTAAATCATATTTGCCAGTTTAGCAGTAAAATATATGAATGTTCCAAAGTAGTTTAGGGTTTTAAATTCTATAAGTAGAGTGATTAGATACTTAGGGTGCCACTTATCATTAAAAGCCAACACATCAGCCACTACGTAAGTGGGATGAACCCATGGGACTGCCATGGGCTTCTATGGCTTCGTTCTGGTTTGGTGTGAGAGAGCAATGGCAAAGCGATGAGCTTAAGTATTTATTTCCAAATCAAAAAACAAAGCTGGTGAATACCATAAGACAAGTACTTTGGGGTTTTTTTTTCTATATACATTAAACAGACAAGCAGAGAAACTAAATGTGAACAATTCAACTGCAGGGTTGCAAAATCATGCACTCAAAAAAATTCAGGTTGCTCTTAAAATATTACAGCTCTACCGAATTGTATGTATTGACTGTGATTCATTACCTTATTGCTTCCAAGTTTCCCATGACACGAAAGTGCCATTACTTTAAACTGGAGTAAAAGCAGTAATGATGAATCAGTCCCATTGCATGTAATCTTTCTTCCTCTTCTAAAATTCTTTGTTAAATTTGCAAATTAATATATTGTTGTCTATTTATTAATGTATCCTATAGCCTATAGGATGTGATACCAATTTTACTGTATACCATAACTTATAAGCTGTAAAATATACCCTGTTTATTGTTGTGGGGACAGTTTTATTTTGTTGTTGGTTTATACAAGCATATGCGTATAAAATAATATACAAGTATGAACACTATAAGTATAAACCAGATGTAGATCAGATCTTGCCCCTGCCTTATTTTCAGGTTATAGTAGTATTGTCACTAATGATTATTTATAGTGCTAAGTAAATTTAAAATAATGTAGAATTTAGTCACTGATCACGGACTGTATGAGAATTGTTTCTGCCTTGATTTAGAAGAAATGGACTTCTCAAAATTTTACTGTGAATCATTCTCCCCGGTTTTTCTTATCTTCAGTGTAACACACGGCTGTATACTGAATCAGTAAAAATAAAAGGACTGTCATTCTGCAAAAACTGCTAAAATGTTGCAGGTATGTGCATGAATTTTCAACACGTTAAGATGTGATTAAGCAACGGAAAATTAGCAAGCTTTGCATGGATATTGGTCTGGGGAAAGAAATGCCAATAGAATACTATAATTCTAGCTATTCAGACCTAATCAATAATTGACGAGCATGCTCTGAGGGTCTCGTACTCTACTCGGACCGTTAAGATTGTGGTGTAGGAACCATGGCAGCTCAGTGCATTAGTTTGATGATGTTTGCTGCGGGAAGTTTTCTTTAAGTACTGCTAGATGAGAAAATTGAATGTCATTTTAGCTGTACAGTACATCAAAAGATGTTCACTCTCTACCTGAAATTTGCCTGTTGAACATACAGCAAAAGCAACTTCATCACTTGGTACTGAGGTGGAACATTAAGACAAGGTCCAGAGAACTAGGAACCTCCAGAGAAGTTTCCAATTGCTTTTCCCTAAGGAATCTCTTCAGCAAATGAGGTCTAGTGATGCAGCTGTGCTTGGAAGAGTGGCATTGCAGCACTGAGGATATTGGGAGGCATGATGGGGGGAGTCTCTGCTCCATAAACCTCTGCATTTTGTTCTTGAGGCCTCCGTGTACTAATGCTCTCTTCCGTGTGACTAAATAACCTTTCTGTTTGATGGGGTTTTTTTTAAACTCCTTGAGTCTTTTTTTGAGAAAGTATTTTATTATGATCAGATTAACTTTTATTTCTGAGAATGTGTTTCACCATCATCAAATGGAAGCTCTCAAGGGATGGACATTTCATTCTGTTTTGAGGACACTTACAGTCCTGCAAGTGGAAACATGTCCAAAGCTATTCTGAGATTATTCAAAATTGCCTACAAAAAATGGTAGATGGTAGAAATCAGTTTTTCAGAATTGCAAGCAGCAAACAGTTTATTTCATCCACAGCTGCAGCTAGGGAAAATATAATTTTGTATACTTAACAAAAATTCTACCAGAATCCATTCAAAAGAACATAAGTGGTTGCTAGAAAGGCAACAAAACGTTATTTCAAGCAAAAATAAAGTGCAGCCTTTACACTGGTATTTCAATTCATGTAAAAGTTCATGTTCAAAATTCAAGAGAGACTTTAAATCTGTTTCAAACCTCCACAGCATGTATTTTAAACCATGTGAAATTGTTCATACAGAAATAAGGTGGATGGTTTCACTGTTCCGTAGTTTTCCTTGACCTTCGTGCAATGAGTTACCCAGTGCCTGTCCACAGGCAGCAGTCACACCTGGCCAAGAGGCAGGGAGCCAATGTCACCATCTGACACCAGCTCCACTGAAGCATGAAGAGACAAAAATTCATCCTAATGGATCCCTGTCCTTCTCAATGCTTTGTTTGCTCCAGTGTCCAGAGAAGGGCAATGAAGCTGGTGAAGGGTCTAGAGAACAAGTCTTATGAGGAGCGGCTGAGGGAACTGGGGCTGTTTAGCCTGGAGAAGAGGAGGCTGAGGGGAGACCTCATCGTGCTCTACAACTACCTGAAAGGAGGTTGTAGCGAGGTGGGGGTCGGTCTCTTCTCCCAAGTAACAAGCGATAGGACGAGAGGAAATGGCCTCAAGTTGCGCCAAGGGAGGTTTAGACTGGACATTAGGAAAAACTTCTTTACTGAAGGAGTGGTCAGGCCTTGGAACAGGCTGCCCAGGGAAGTGGTGGAGTCACCATCCCTGGAGGTATTTAAAAGACGTGTAGATGAGGCGCCTAGGGATATGGCTTAGTGGGCATGGTGGTGTTGGGTTAACGGTTGGACTTGATGATCTTAGAGGTCTTTTCCAACCTTAATGATTCTATGATTCTATGATTCTATTCACTTTTTGTTGGCGGAAGATTCATTCAAGGCAGGGGGTCGTCATGGAGCCCTGCGAGTGAGGTGAGATGTGCAGTCGTCCCAGACGAGCACCTTCAGCCTGTGTGTCATCAGCCAGCAGGGACCGGTCGGGTGACTGGTTCCTCAAGCTATGTTTGGACACCTCTGTGTTGGTGACAGTGTCCTTGGGAAGGTGTACTCCTCTGGGAGGGTCATGTGTGGGAAGGGTGGGTCCAGCACACTGCAGGAAAGTGCACGTGTGAAGGGTATCTTCTGCACATCCTTCCCCACTGAAGAGCCTGAAGAGTGTTCAGGGCTTGCACAAGCTGACTTTGACTGACGTGAGATATTCAACGCGATTTAGGACACAGAAGTGGTTTGCAGCATAAGACCGTATCAGGCTAGCTGATGCTCAGGCCTGGCCTCCCCCAGCCCGCAGGATGCCCTTTCAGCTGTGCTTCGTCCTACAAGCAGCGTACAGCACTTACTGGCTCACTGCAGGTTTAAAAAGAACCACAAATGTTTCCAACTCTCTTTCTGATAAAGCCGTATCAAACCACACTGGCTTACCACAAATAAGCAGGCAGGCGTGGGTGGTGGATGGAGAGGTTGGGAGGAGGGAAGGAGCAACCCATCCAGGCAACAGGTGCAAGAAGTTTTGAGGGAAAGCAACTCCTCGGTGCCTGTGCTTCTTTTTAGGTTGTTTGTTTGTAAACAACAGATCAAAGGATCAGATCCATGACGTGCCACTCCCTGCCCACCCTTCATGTGTTCAAGGTGACCATGGACTTGCCTGATGCCAGGGAGGAGCCACATCCCGTGATGTTGTGGTCCATCCACTTCGTAGCCCAGTGGTTGTTCCCAGCCTGCCCCGTCAGGAGGGAGATGCCAGCGGAGAGCCCTCCGATGCATTTCACGGTGGCTCGGTTCACACACTGAGCCATCGAAAAGGGAGCCAACGCTCGAATCCCAGATGGGGTAAAAGATGTACTGTCATTGCTGGCACACCTGACTTCTCTTGGCCTGTGCTCTGAGCCAGCTCTGCGGGGTGACACAGCTATGATGACACTGCCCCAAAACTAGGCTAGCAAGTGTTGCTAACTGGCAGGTGTGCCAGGCCATTGCTGAATGGATGTGGCCGTGCAACCCCGGGCGAAGCTCGCTGTGCTATCTGCAGCTCTGCAATGCGGAGCTGGCTTGCCAGCTCAGCCCAAAGGCTTTGCAAGCCTGGCTGTGCTCAGAGCACGGCTTGCACCAGCTTGGAGGGGACCTGGTGGATGTACACACCGCTCAACCCACAGCAGCGCTTGGGATGTCATCCTCCACGTCTGGTTTGCCAGCAGC